CAGATGAATCATTATCCAAGTCAATGGTTCCAAATTTACCATTAACAGGAAGAAATTTGCTAGCCTCCACAGCTCCTTGCCTAAAATGGAAAATATATTGCATCCCAAACAAGGAATCTTGACTCAAAAGAGGTTTATCAGAAGGGGGAAAAACAGAGGAATCTCCATTAAAAGATTCAGATTCATCTTCAGCCTTAAAAAAACCCAAATCAGATCTAAAATTCTGAGTAGAATCGCCAAGGCCGATTGGAGAAGGAGGATACTTCTTACCAAGAACATCATAAAAAGATTTCTCAGCAGCTTGAAGAGCCAAACAGTCAATAAGCATACAGGGCTTAGTTTTGAGATCTTCCTCTTCGTCCATCAGCATCTCCGTGATGTACTTCAGCATCGTATTAGAGGTGTCGTGACAATCCGGTGAGTTACCCTCCGTGCTCGACGGCGACAGCGACGGCGATGTCGACGACGACGACGACGACGAATTATGATGAAGAGGGTCGAAGATTTCTCGGTTGACGTTGAAGAACCCATTTGAGAGATGAGGGTTGTAGTGAAAATTATTCCATGAATTGGGGAAATCGTCGAGGAGATTGTCCATAAAATTAAAAGGGTTTGATGAACGAGATGAGAATTGAAGAACCCAGAAAATAAAAAAGAAAATAAAAAAGAAAATAAAAAAGGGAAGAAATCCAAAGAGGAGTCGGTGGAAATTCAGGAAATATGAACACAGAGTCGGATTTTGATACTATTTAAGAGTCAAGCGGGCAAGTGTCGGATCATTTCGGCGACGATGGTTCTAGGAAGGCGTTGCCTTGACCATACAAAATTTAATTAATAAATAAATAAATTATTTCTTTTTAAATTTATTTTTCTTAAAATCAAAAAAGAAAAAAGGAAAAATTGGTATTGGTCAAAAGCAAATGAATTAAATAATGGCCAACACGATTTTTGGTTTTTTTTTTTTAATTATTTAATTATGATTGTTTCTTGATACCCAAGATGTGTTGACCAACGGAAAATATAAATAAAAAAAGGAAAAAAAAAAAGTCATCAGATTAAAAAATTTTATTTTCTTAATTTCCAATTTAGGGTTTGGTAAAAAATAATTTGTGAGTTAAGAAATTAATTTTTCGAAAATTATTCAAAATAAATATTATTCCCCCCCCCCCCCCCC